TCCCCACTGTGAAATACAAAGCAAATTGGTTTGCTCTGAGGTTGGGAGTTCTCTGCACGGTGATGGGTCATGTTTTGAGCATGGGGAACAGGATATGGACTTGTGAGCTGGGTGGAAACTATGGTTGATATATTATAAGAATAGCAGTTCTTATGCTTTTTTGGTCTCATGTCCCCTTTATACTCTTAAATATTATTCAGGACCTTCAAGAGATTTTCTTATATCTGTCAATATTCACTGTGTCAGAAATCCAAACTGATGAACTTTGAAATGCTTAATTTATTTAAAAATAATGATAATAAACTCATTACAGGTTAATATAAATATCATAGTTGGACAAATAATATATTTTCCAAAACAAAATAAATTAGTGAGAAGAGTGATATCATTTGCATTTTTGCCATCTCTTTAATGTCTAGATTAATAGAAAACAGCTACATCCTCTTACCTGCTTCTTCTGCCTTCAGTCTATTGTGATATGCTGTTTAGGTTGAAGTACGCCCAGGTATGTATTTGGAAAAGGGAGAAGAATTTTAATAATATTTTCAGACAACTGTAGAAATTATTCTCTAATATTACATCATAAATCCACAAGTAATAAAGAACAGAAATTTATTCTTCATGTCCAGAATCTAAGAAGTCAAGATTAAAGAGCTGGAGCATTCAATGTGTGTCAAAAGCCTGTTTCCTCATAGGTGGCACTTTCACACTGTAACCTAACGTGGCAGGAGGGACAAGGGATTTCTCTGAAGCCTCTTTTACCTTTCTTTCTTTGCTGTTTTTTTTTTCTTGTTTGTTTGTTTGTTTTGTTTTGTTTTTGAGACAGAGTCTCAGTCTGTTCCCCTGGCTAGAGTGAGTGCCGTGGCATCAGCCTAGCTCACAGCAACCTCAAACTCCTGGGCTCAAGCAATCCTCCTGCCTCAGTCTCCCAAGTAGCTGGGACTACAGGCATTCACGACCATGCCCGGCTAATTTTTTCTATTTTTGGTAGAGACAGGGTCTCGCTTTTGCTCAGGGTGGTCTGGAACTCCTGAGCTCAAACGATCTGCCTGCCTCTGCATCCCAGAGTGCTAGGATTGATTACAGGCATGAGCCACCGCATCCCAGCCTGAAGCCTCTTTCATAAGGGCACTAATCCAATTCCTGAGGGCTCTGCCTTCATGATCTGATCAACTCCCAAAAGCCCCATTTCCTAATATCATTACTTTGGAGTCTGGTTTCAACATGAATTTGGTGGGGAATATGAGATATGGACAGAACTGAGGGGTTGGAGCCACCATGCCTTGCCCAGGCGTGGCAGGGCCTTATCTTCCGGTCTGGCCCTCAAGGGGCTCTTGGCAAAGCCCAGTTCAGCCACTGTGGGCCACAGCCCATGTGAGAGGGCAGCTGAGGCCCCGTGGCCTGGTGCTACTGGCCTCATTCCTGCTCAGCCACGCTGGCCTCAAGTGCACACCCATCTGTGTGTTGTCCACACACAACTCCCAGCACGATAGCTCTCCCGCCCAAGAAAGAATATTGGAAAGAAGATTTTGAAAGTGATATCTTTATATGGAAACCATTAGGTCTGATCTTTTACTTTTAAGTACACCATCCTCCCACTGCAGTGCTTTATTAGTGACAACAAATTCTAGTGACAGCCCTCACAAAAGATCAAGACAGCCCAATATGTCATGCACTGGCGCTGAGAACTGCAGATTTAAATATTCTTCTTCCTAGGACTTCATTCTGGTACTTTTCTTCCACAATCTCTCTCTCAACTTGTCATAGTGTTTTCAATTTGCAATTTGGTATAGCTCTAAGTGAAGAAAATTTTTAAATTTTAAATTATTAGCCTGAATTTTACCATGTATCTTTATGTCGTGCAATGCCAGTTTTAAATCCAAATATAAAAGCATTTAACTGGCGTGCATGATCCCCCAAATTACAGAATTTGTATTTTGTAGTTTATGTATGCAAATGTATTAAATTCTTACCAGAGCAGTGTAAATCCTACACAAAACAAACTCAGCTGTTTTTACTTCACTTTTTTATATGCATGCATTCTACCAACACTCTCTATTTTTGGCTTACTGATAGTGAGGGCAGCCTAAAAAGAAAAGAAACTATGTATGGGATTGTGTGAGCTTTCCTTTTCCTCTCTGCCATCATTTTAAGCATCTGTGGTTGGCTAAGACAGAAAGTAACAGGAGTAAGAAAGGACACAACAGGGTTCCTTGAATGTTCATGCTTCTTGGTTCGCCCCTGCCTTCTTTCTGCATTTGAAGCAAGTTCTGGTTCAAACAGAAAGTGTGGGAAAGTGTGGCCTCTCGAGGAGACCAGCGTCCTGCTTAATTCATTGAAGACATAACGTGTTTGCTTCCCTTGTTCTTGCTGAACTCCCACACATTGAGTCATGGGTCCACAGGAGTTCTGAGTGCTATGCACGCATGGGGTAGCAAGACACAGTGGATAGACACACTGCCCCATTTCCTCTGCTCATGACCTGATCCATTGTCCCATCAGACTTCATTTACAAAACACAGGTTCAAAGACAAAATCATTAAGAATTTTAAGATAGAGACAGCAGAGGTTTAAACCTAGCTCAGGGCACTTCTGAGAACAGGGCTCTGGGTGGCTCTCAGGTGACAGACCCATGAAGCCATCCCTGTGTCGTGGCCTTCACCCTGCCATGCTGGACTCTGTGGTCCCCTGGACTCACCGTGCTCCTCCCTGCTGAAGGGTCCTGAGGCATGCTGCCCCCTCTGCCTGAAACACAGTTCGCTCCTCGTGGCCCAGGTATCCGCTACTTTCTCTTTCTGTGATCTCAGCCCAGCTGTCATGTCCTTAGGGAAGCCCTCCCTGTTCTGCCTGACCAGGTCAGAAAGCTGTTAGCACCACGTGGCTCTCGTTAATGCACACATCCCAACCACCATTGTTCAATTAGTGTGTGATTATTGACTGCCTACTTCCCTCCCCCACACACTGCAAGCAGGTTGCAGGCCAGGGCTGGGCCTGGCTTAGTTTGTCATTGCTTTGCCAGTGCCTGGCACATAGACCTAATAAATATTTATAAGGTGAATGAGTCGATAAATAAATGAACAAATTTTTTTGCAACCTGAACACGGGTGTCAGGTGAAGAGGTAGGATAAATAAGGGTGACATGAATTCTAGGTTTAGTTCAAAAGGGACTAATCCTGTCTGAGACTGAGCTGGTGAAAACTAAGTGAGCACTGGTTATCCTTGTTTCCTTCTCTGTTTTTTCTACTAGGCAAGGAATACTTGGGAATAAGTATCCTTATGTTTTAAGGTATCCAGGTTGTTTGTCCTTGTGTCTCCAAGCCTGGAACTTAGTCAGCTCTCACAAAATATTAGTTCTATTGAATTGAATCACACTGAATTCTGTTAGATAGAATATGTCACCCTGATATTTACTTTATCTTCTCCTCCATTTGTGTCTTCTCTATCTTCTTCTCTTCCTCCCTTCCCTCCTTTGTCTCCTTGTCTCTTGTTAAGGATTTCTGTGTCTTGAGAATTACTTTAGTTGCGATCAGATATTCCCAACAGAAGATTACAATTACCCTCATCTATTTTAGGCTTAACTTGACTCATCAAAGAGAAATGGTCTGATTAGCCTTACAACCATGGTGGTATTTGGGCACTCAAGAGAAAGCCCCAGAAATAGTCTGAGCATATTTGTTGGTAATATTCTCATATTGACACTGATCTTGGGATAGAATCCCACTAATGGGAACCCGCCTCCTTGTTAGAGCCAGGGCCACAACTGGTCTGTCGTGTCCATTATCCCACAACTGCACTTGAGAAGTGGCCAGGAGGGGAGGCAGTGAAAATGGAATGTTCATAATGAAATTGAGGATCAATGGAATAATAAAAAAAAAAGTCTAAAGGTGAGATTGGTATTGATCAAACATCTTAGAAAACATTGTTAGTGAGAGATCAGGTCATGCTTCCCATATGTAAAATGGTGGGGATTTCTCTCCTGAGAGAGACTTGAATTAGAATATAGACTATTCCTGGGAGCAAGCCTCCAGGTGGTTCCCTGAGAAGTTATGAGGCTGTTTGGAACTTCCCAAGGCATTTACTACAGGGCTTGCTTGTAGTAGGGATTCAATAATAAAAATCCATTGATTGAGAAAAGAGATATTCTCATGGCCTTATAATTTTGTCACAGAGCAATAGTTACAATAGTCATTAGCACAGCTGAAGAGGAGAAATGCGTTCATTTCACAACATGTTCAGCTCTTAAAGAGTCAGGTTTTCAGGCTCCCCAGGGACTCACCCCCACTGTTTCAAAAGAGAAAATTGCACGGCGGAGGTGGTGGGTGGAGAGACTTGATGGAGAAGTGGTGGTGGTGGAGAGAATTTGGCTGCAGCAATGTGGGGTGTTTAAACCAGGAGCAAAGGGAAGAGAAGAGCAGTGCTACTCTAGTGAGCCAACACATCACTTGGGGATCCTGTTCAAATGCAGATTCTGGTTCCAGAGGGCTGGTAGAGCCTGGGATTCTGCACTTCTAACATACTCCCAAGAGATGCCAGTGCTGCTGGCACGGGTTCATGGACCACACTTTCAAGCAGTGAGGATGTGTTCATGGGACAAAAGACTATGTAAAGCTATGGCCTTTTACTATGTTCCTCTGCAGTTAGTTGTCTTTTGACGATGAGCAAGTTCCCTAATCCCAGACTGGGCAGAGGGCAAATGGGAAACCTGCTGGGAGAACGGGGGGACTGGAAAATCAGCCAGCTCCCTGGCACGATGACTCTCACCTTTCTCCACCAGAATAGACTTGATGGGTGGTATTTCCATGCATGAAACATTTCAATTTCACTGTCTATGGAAAGAACATGTGGGTCTGGACCACTGTAGGCCTCTTCTGGTTTGACAATTCTATGCGCACAGAGGAAATTGTAGGGAGGGTTTGGGTTTGCAGATCTGGTCAGTGGAAGCGCTGTCTTCAATCTGGCAGTTGTCAGGATTCCCACTCACTGTCCTCCATCCTCTGCAGGGGAAATCTGTGCGTTCAAGATCCACGGCCAGGAGCTGCCCTTTGAGGCCGTGGTGCTCAACAAGACGTCGGGGGAGGGCCGGCTCCGTGCCAAGAGCCCCATCGACTGTGAGCTGCAGAAGGAGTATACCTTCATCATCCAGGCCTATGACTGCGGCGCCGGGCCCCGGGAGACGGCCTGGAAGAAGTCACACAAGTAAGTGGCCTTGACAGAGCTCCCTGGACACCCCTCCCTGCCTTGCCCAGCCCCTCCATTCACACACTGCTCTTTGGATACGTTTGCCCCTTTGTCACACCATGGTACTCCAGCCCTGCTCAATGGCTTGCCAGTTCCCCAGTCCCCGGCAGCCATCCACACAGGCTGCTTCCTACACCTGGAGTGCTCTACTTCCCCTTCTTCACTTGGAGATACCCCTGTTCCCCCTTCAGGACTGGGTTCAGGTGTCACCTCTTCCAGGAAGCCTTCTCTAAGCTGGCCCATCTGACCTAGATGGGACCTCTCCCTTGGCGTCTGCAGTGCTGTGTGCTCTGTCACAGCACTTTTCATTGTGGGTTGTCACTGCTTGCTCCCTTATGGTGGTTGGCTCAGAGCCTGGCACTGAGTAAGAGGGTTAAATTCTTACCGAATGGAGGAGTGAATGACTGGGGGGAGGAATGAAGGGGAAACATGTTGCCTAAAGCTGGGGAATGAGGAAGGGCAAAGAATAGAGAAGAGTCTCTCTGGGCTGGATTCATCTCAGATCACTGGGCGAGGGCAGGGAGAGGGTCTCCAGTGAGAGGGAGGACAGACCCACAGACAACTGCCGCAACTGGCTTGTGGGCCCTCCTTTCACTGGGCCTCGGGACCTCAGTCAGTGCCCCCAGGAGGGGTGGAAAATGGGTGTGATTCTTTCTTTACCACCATCCCTTCCTTCCTGTGTGTGATCCCAGGGCCGTGGTCCACATCCAGGTGAAGGATGTCAATGAGTTTGCTCCCACCTTCAAAGAGCCGGCCTACAAGGCTGTCGTGACGGAGGGCAAGATCTACGACAGCATCCTGCAGGTGGAGGCTGCCGATGAGGACTGCTCGCCGCAGTATAGCCAGATCTGCAACTATGAAATCGTCACGACAGATGTGCCTTTTGCCATTGACAGAAACGGTAAGTGTCCAGAGAGGACTCCTGTGGCGTCAGGGAAACAAGCCTACCAGCCCCTACTCTGAAGGCCAAATGGGGCTCTGAATGTGATTGGCAGGTGGTGTCTTTCTTGCCATCCTTGGCCTAGGCTCCGTAATGCAGAACTCAGTCCTGCACTCCAGGGAATGATTAGCAGACCTGGCAGGTCTACTAACAACCCCAGGAAACCTCAGAAACCCACGCACTGAACACAGTCTGTAAAACTCACAATGCCACACATCTGGATACTGAAGATGGTTGACTTCCTAGTAGAATTTTCCAGTTGTCATCCAGATGTGAGTCATGCCATAAGCATGGCCATATTTAGGTCCCTTTCCTATATAACAAATTATAATGTCATCTCCCACCACAACAATCTGATTCCAGCTCCCAGACAAAGAGATGCTAACAGAGCAGGTGGGGATTTTGAAACAGCTTCTAAATCATAGATCCATTCAAAAATTTTTTAAGCTCTTGTCCATGTCCTTTTTGAGAATTTCAAGTCTAGTGAGAATGAAGAATGAAAGGACCCTACTGACACATCCCAATCCCAGACTGAACTGGACTAAAAACAGTTCTATAAAGCCATTTAGATATTTTCCCATCACCATGAACAAAAAAACTTGCTGTAGTGTAAATACAACAACCAGGGGCCCAATCAGCTCATCCTACTTTGTGATTCTCAATACCATGATCACGTCAAATGATAATTATTTGCCAAGTACGTTGTTTAATTATTAGTGTGAGCACATGGGTGTCTGTATGTTCTTCCCACTTTGTTTCAAATAAGATTTAAGTACCACACAAAGATGCAAAAAATTGCAAAACCTTAAATTCATCCACTCTGTAGTTATTTATGGAGTGCCAGGCATGGTACTGGACACTGGAATGGGAATAGAGTGGGATTCAAACAGACATGGGCCTGTCTACAGGGAGCTGACCATCTAGTGGGGAAAAAAAAGGGAAAATCAGTTGGCATCAAGGATGAAGTTGGTTCACAAAGCATGCCATGAGCCCATGAGGGTGAGGCAACAAATCAGTTCTGAGCCTCCTGGTAGCCAATGTATAGAAGGAAAGAACATCAGGCCTTTGGGAGATTCTTGACATTGAGACCAGGGAGAAACATACTCTATGATAAAGTCTTCTGCATCCTGAGACAGCAGCAGAAGCCAGAGGGGATGAAAGCCAAGGAGACAACCCCATCCTTGACCTCAAGTAGCTTATGACCTGTCTTGAAAGACACAACTAATATACATAAGACAGAAAAAAGTAGTAATGAGATCATTTCCTTTTAAAATGCCAGAACATGTGGAAATGACAATTAAACACCAGCACATGACCAGATGCTAATTGTGCGGGATACAATACCAGCGCACAAGAAAGTAAAGGAGGAAATACTGGACTTTAATTAAGAAAAGGGTAATTTTAATTAGTGAAGCTGTCAGAACTATTCCCTGATAGCTTCTCCTACAGGCCCTGTGAAATGCCTACCCCGCCCCCGCCACACAGGCACACACACCACGCCATAAGATATACAACTGCTTTGCATGTTTCTCCTCTGGGTTTCTAGTCCTCTAAGATCAATTGATCTTAGAGGACTGTGCAGTCTGTCCCACAAAAGCTTTGGTATCTGGGGAGTGCCAAGTCCGTGGTGCCTAGCAAGAGTAGACAAGTGAGGGTGTCTGTGCTCCGTGTCCAGCTCCGCTTGGCCTCCTGCCCCAGTTCTGGAGAGCAACATCCCAGTGAGAGATGAGATGCAAATTCTTTCTTTGGAGGGTAAACTGCCCCAGTCATGAAGATAATTACTCACCTTGATGAGCCATTTCACTAACATATGCCAATTTATTTCCCTGGCTGTCTCATTAAAAGTGAGTAATGGGCCTTTGCCAGGCCTCTGCCTTCAACTTTGGTTTACAACATAAGGCAAAGAGGAGAGTGGTCACTCCCACGGAGCAGGGCCCTCAGCAGCGAGGTGTACAAAAGCAGCTCTCCAACCAAGTAAGGAAGGCAAGACCCCAGGGGCAGACAGGGAAGTGACTCCCATTCTAATGAGCTTCCCAATTGCCCTTTATCCATCACTTTTCCAGCTCCTTAAACAAGTTTTTTGCATGCACATAAGTGAAAGTGCTGTGCATTGAGGGCTTGCTCCTTGAGGACGAAGTGTCCCCCACTTCCCCCCCCCCCATGGCTTCAGGTTGATCTCTCCTAACCCCTCCAGCCTGCCAGGCTTTTTGCATATGGGGAAAAGAGGCAGGGAGGATGGAAGACACTATGTGGAGTTAGCCTGACCTTCTTTCACTAGAGATTCAACCTCTTCCCACCTGAGGTCCTCGGTCTCCCTGCCTTTGGATTGCTGTCTTGTGAAATCATGGCAGCAGCAGCCCCTGACTCACTGTGGGGTTGTGAAGCCTCAAGGGGAAGCAGTGTGTGAGGAGAATGTTTGCAGGGTAACCGGCATATAGGGAGTACTCAATTAATGGTGCCACAATTGTTAGATATTTACCTGGGTGATTGGGATATGAGGTTTATTCACTCCCCATGGATTTTCAGGCTGAAATTATAAGCAGGTCCCTATGAGTTTGAGACATTACCTTCCTTTGGGGAAGTTCTGGATCCATTTCAGAGAGCTCACAGGTCCCCATATGATGGCATTTGGCAAGTCTCTGTTAGATGGGCAGGGCCTATATCCTTATTTCCATTGGACAAATGGAAGAATTGAGTCTAAAGCATAAAAAGCTTGCTTTATAATATTGTCACACTAGTGGCAGAGTTGGGACTGGAACCCAGGTCCCCTGAGTGTTGGCCCCAAGGTCTTTCCATCAAGTTGCTCTTCTCAATAACAATTGACATGGATGCATGGCAGCGGCGTTTCAGTTCCTAAACACAAAGTGTGGGTGATATCAGCAAGGTGGCAGAGTAGGAGAGAACAGCCTTTGTTCCCCCAACAAAGAATAATAATTGGACAGCTATACATGAAGGAAAATAGTTCCAGGAGAGCTCAGGAGCCCAGTTAAGTAGCAATAGCAACATGATAGAGGAAAAAAATTAGAATAACTGCATAAAAAGTATAGGAAGAGTAGTTTTGTTTTGCTTGCATCATCCCATCTCCCACCCCAGCTCTGCTCACCACAAAGAAAGAACTCCCCAGCTCTCAAGTTCCACTTGCCAAGGAAAGGAGAGTGAGGACGACAGTCAGCTTTTCCAGCCTTTCAGAGCACTTCCCCAGTGACCCATTTCAGTTTGACCCCACCTGGATTGCTGGGGGGACCAGCATAGCTCAGACATCTGGAGACAACTGGGCACAAAGAAGAACTGCAGAGGCTATCAGTACTAGACATGTGGCAGGTGCCACCATGGTCCCCTGCAGCATGCTCTGCACAGGACCCCAGCAGCCCTCTCCCCTGAGGACCTCCACAGCCCTCACAGCCACCACACAGTGCCCCCGCCCCAGCTTTCACTGCCAAGGACCCCACAGTTTCACCATTGTGGACCCCAGCAGAGGACCCCGGCAGCTTCTGCCACCAAGGAAATGAACATCTAGCACAACCACAGGGGACCCCCGCAAATTCTGGCACTGAGAATCTCACAGTTTTTTACTTTGACAGTTTCCAGGCACCTCAGCCATCATCCCTTTCTCTGTCTCCTCCCAAAGAAGCCCTAGGCACTGCCACTGTCAGTGCCCCAACCCAGAAACCCGGCATAGCCATAGTGTATGAGCCCCAGAATGGCCTGGGCCCCTGCTACAGACCCACCCCCTCACCACCATGTGTGTCTCGATGGCTAACTCCCTAGCCATGTGCCTATGAACAGCTGACCCCATCCCGGTCACCAGGTCTTATAAGTGAGCATGTGCCTACAGCTGGATCATGCAGCCACATGCATGCTTGCCACCAGCCTCAGCCCCTACAGCTGTACCCACACAAGCAGACAGCCCTAACTCCCATCATTGGACCCCATCAGCATGCTTGCACCTACACCAGCCTGAGCAAGAGTGAGACCCTGTCTCTACTATAAATAGAGAAAAATTAGCCAAAACAACTAAAAATACAAAAAAATAGCCAGGCATAGTGGTACGTGCCTGTAGTCCCAGCTACCTGGGAGGCTGAGGCAGTAGGATCACTTGAGCCCAGGAGTTTGAGGTTGCTATGAGCTAGGCTGATACCATGGCACTCTAGCCCATGCAAGACAATGAAACTCTGTCTCAAAAAAAAAAAAGAAAGAAAGAAAGAAAGAAAGAAAGAAAGAAAGAAAGAAAGAAAGAAAGAAAGAAAGAAAGAGAGAGAGAAAAAAGAAAAGAAAAAAGATAATGATTAGAACAGAAATGAAACAAAGACTAGAAAAATAATATAAAAGATCAATAACACCAAATTGGTTTTTTGAAAAGGCAGAGTTGACAAACCTTTATCTAGATTAAGAAAAAAGAAAGAACTCAAATAAATAAAATCAGGAATTAAAGAGGAGACATTAAAATAAATACCACAGTAACACAAAGGATTATAAGAGATTGCTAAGACCATTTGTATACCAACAAATTGGATAACCTAGGAGAAATGTATAACTTTTCAGAAACATACAACCTACCAAGACTGAATCATGAAGAAATAGAGAATCTGAACAGATTAATAATAAGAAGATAGAATGAGTAATAATAATAATAAAAACTCCCATCAAAGAAAAGCCCAGGACCTGATGGCTTCATAGCTGAATTCTACCAAAAATTTAATGAATAACTAATATGAATTCTTCTCAAATTCACCCAAAAAATTGAAGAGGAGGGAACACTTAAAAACTCATTGTACTAGGTTGCCATTGCCCTGACACCAAAGTCAGACAAGAACATTACAAGAAAAGAAAATTACAGGCCAATATTCCTGATGAACATAAATGCAAAAATAGTCCTCAAAAAAACACTAGCAAACTAAAAAGGATCATGCTCAAATGGGATTTATCTCCAGGATGCAAAGAAGGTTTGACATACACGAATC